CATCATCACCACTGTCATCACCATCATCATCATCACCATCATCATCATCACCATCATCACCACCATCATCACCACTATCATCATCATCATCATCACTATCATCATCATCATCATCATCATCACCACTGTCATCACATCATCATCATCACTATCATCACCATCATCATCATCATTATCACTATCGTCACCATCATCATCATCACCATCACCATCATCACCACCATCACCATCACTGTCATCATCATCATCACTGTCATCATCATCATCACCATCATCACCACTATCATCATCACTATCATCACCATCATCATCATCATCATCACATCACTATCATCACCATCATCATCACTATCATCATCATCATCATCATCAACACTATCATCACCATCATCATCATCACCATCATCACCACTATCATCATCACTATCATCATCATCATCATCATCATCATCACCACTATCATCACCATCATCATCATCACAGTCACCATCATCACCACTATCATCATCATCATCACCATCATCATCATCACCATCATCATCATCATCACTATCATCACCATCATCATCACTATCATCATCATCATTGTCATCGCCATCATCATCATCATCACTATCATCACCATCATCACCATCATCATCATCATCACATCACTATCATCACCATCATCATCATCATCATCATCACCACTATCATCACCATCATCATCATCATCATCACTATCATCATCATCATCATCATCACATCACTATCATCACCATCATCATCATCATCATCACTATCATCATCATCATCACATCACTATCATCACCATCATCATCATCATCATCATCACCGCTGTCATCACCATCATCATCATCATCACCACCATCATCATCATCATCACCACTATCATCACCATCATCATCACCCTCATCATCATCACCATCATCACCCTCATCACCATCACCACTATCATCACTATCACTGTCTTCTCCAGTGTCTCCAGCTGCATTCATGCAGACACGTCAACATCATGTTTACCGGAGAGGCTGTAAACAACAACAACAACCTGCCTGCTCATTGTGTCTGCTGGACTTGGGAAGATGTGGAAGCCTCAACATAGAGATTTACAAGTAAAGAACTTATAACCAAATCAAAACAATGTATAATCTTCTGTTTGACACTCAACACTCACTGGAACACAAACACTTTGTCATCAGACCATTACACCTTCAGGTACAACATGTCCCCACAAGGACAAAAGGAAAAGACAAGGAACAAAAAGACACCAAAGATGCCCTCCAGTGGAGATCTGCACTGGACTGTTGTCTAAACACCAGTCCACAGAACAGAACGGAGCGTAGAGCAAACACAAACACATCACCATCTTATATCTTATTGACATTATTTATCAGGTCAGTCCCAGTGACATCACAGATCTGTTTTTAAAGGGCAGCCTATTGTAAGTTTTTACAGGTGGGAAAACCGGAGAACCTGGAGAAAACCCACACAAGCACAAGGAGAACAGGCAAACTCCACACAGAAAGACTCCAGGTCTGAACCAGGGATCGAACCCAGGACCTTCTTGCTGTGAGGCATCAGTGCTAACCACTGAGCCATCGTGCTGCCATGTTGCTGGAGTCTCTGAGGAACTCAGGAGGATTTTCTCCAAACACAAGATCTTGGTCCGTTTCAAACCCAACAGGACCTTCAGACAGGGCTGGGCCACACGGCTGAAAAATGTATCACAATATAAACCTTTTCTATTGGTCGACTGATGGACAACGTCTCCCAACCCATGAAGCTGTGGCTGAACTGCAGAGCTCCTTCAGTGACAGACTGCTGCATCCCAGGTGAACAAAGGAGCCTTATCACAGATCCTTCCTCCCAGCAGCTGTCAGACTCTATAACCAGCACCACGCCCACAAATCACTATAAGTGTTAACAAATATCACAATAAGTGTTTACACATCTGCTGCACAATCATTTGTACTGTTACTGTTCATTGTCATAACTCACCTGAACAATCATTTGTACTACTGCTCACTAATATCATCAGTAATCTGACCAATCCCCTGCTCTGTTATTACCCATTACCCTGCTGTAATTACACATCTGTTTGTCTACATTCAGATTGTCCACTTTACACTTGTGTGTCTGTTCAGATTGTTTTCCACTGAAAACAAACAATTTCTGATTCTTAATATCAGATTCTGATAGTCTACTGTCTTTAAAACAATACACATTGTTTTCTATCCTTGCACAATTCTTTATATTTTATTTTGTATTATTAGTACTCATATCATGGTTAGTCGGTGTTAATTTGTTTTGTGCACTATCTATAGTTTGTAAAGTAACAAGTGTCTGAACCTCTGTACAGATGCTGCTGTGACACCTGAGTTTCCCCTCTGTGGGACAATAAAGGCTACTTCTATTCTATTCTATTCTATTCTATTCTATTCTATTCTATTCTATTCTATTCTATTGATCATTACTGGTAAGTTTTAGACATCAGTCTGACTCCTGTTGAATTGAACCGATCTGAAATGATGCCAAACTGCTGATCTGTCCTCTTTTGTCCACAGAAGCCGTCACTTCTTTCACTCTGTGCCATTGTTTTTCTTTTTTCTTTTTAAGCACTTATGAGAGATGCTGCTGAAACATGAAACTGCTACTGCACATGCTAGCTTACCTTGTTTATCTGCAGGTTTTTATCACTCAAATGTGCTGACAAGGAGTAAGAAACCCCATTTACACATTTCAAAATAAAGCAGAAGGATTATATTTTAGCAGGAATTTTTCATCTATTAGTAGCTTGAAGCTTTTATTTTGAAGGTACACCTTAGCTTTCTGTATTGTTTAGTAGAAAGATCCTAGCTTATTTTACCAGAAAGTTATCAACCGTTAGCAGTTAATAACTAGTGAAATTATCCATGTTATATTGGACATGTTTCCTGTTGATACTGGATGTGTGTTTATCGTCATTATGTCATTATCCTACCCACAGACAGAGGCTGGGCCAGCCTACAGGCTTAGGATTAGGATTAGACCCAAGCTGAGCAGTGTGGTGTCTGCACTTCACTGAAGGGAGGAATATTCAAACATCTATATAAGAAGATGTTTGAGGTCCTTTTAGGGAGGACTCAGTTAATCCATGACTGATCAGTTACCTTTAATGGCAGACATGTAGGCCTTCATCTCCCTCTGCAGCCGAGCACCTTCAGACTGACAAAACAAAGAGAAAACAGTTAGCCAAGGCTTCATCCAGCACTCCAGTTCAGGTCTATTCAACTCGTCTGCTGGGCCAGATTAGAAAATGTTGAGATGCCACTGGGCCGAAGACCCCCCTACTTTTATTATTTCTTGAGATTAACTTTAAATATGCTACCACATGAACAAAATCATAGAAATACATGAATGAATTCACAATTTATATTGCATCATTTATTGATGAGTAAAATGTTTGAAGTGCATTGCAAACTTTAACATTTGGTCCAAACCTTGACAAGAACATTTTAACAAGGTACAGTATATAACACACACGTTTAATAAAAAAAGGTTAGACAACTTTTGTCAACAGTAAAATCTTCACATTTTATGTTTGCAAAAATATATTTGTTGAACTAGAAAGGCCAACTGAAGCAGTGCATTAAGTTTTACAATAAAAGAAATCGCACCAAGTGAACATTTAATAACTGTAACATTAAAGTTTCTGCATATTGAAATGCTGACTCAATGACATGAGTGTGAAAAGTGACACATTTTGTTTTGAACAATAGCAGTGACGTTTGGCTCATGTGAAGTCGGTGCAACACGAAGGCAGTGGTTCAGGGTTGAGTCAGTCATGGAGCGTCGCAGGTTTGATTTGATTCTGTTCATGTGTTGATTCACACACAWATGTGGAGCCAAACATGCTAAGCACAGTAACAGCCACTTTCTTAAGGTTTGGGAACTGGTGAACATTTATGTCACTCCAAAACTTAATGGTCCATTTGTGYGCAGCTCTTCAGGCAGCGACAGTGATGACTGCATGTCCACAAGTTCAAGAACCAACTCCCCCTCCTCAACAGAAGGGACCACTCCCTTTGCGCTGGCGGACAGATTGTTGTCTGTAGCAGAGCAGCAAATGGTTTTTGGTAAATCACCTCTGTGGGGAGTGAAAGGCCATTCAGTCGGCTGGCAAAGCTGTCTTTTAGTTTCACAACTAAATCCATCATCGCTGCTGTGACAGCTGCCGTATGTGTGATGCATTTGTGGAGCGTAGGAAAATGCAACATTCTTCCTGAGCTCAAGTCGGCAGAAAATATTTCCAGTTTGGCTTGAAATGTGTGCGTCTGTTCCACCAGATCAATGATGGTTTTCTCTCTGCCCTGCAGTCCGAGCTTTAACTGATTTAAGTGTTTGAACAMATCAGAAAGGAAACACACATCTGCCATAAAGTCCGTGTCCATCATGTGGTTTAGGTGCGCCTCCGCCTTTTGTTTTGCTTCATGAAGGAAAACTTTAATCTCCTCCTTGAGCGCACAGAAGCACTCCAGTGAGTTCCCTTTGGAGAGCCATCTAATGTGGCTGTGGAGAAGTCGTGATGTTCTGCAGACATGTCAGACAGCAGCTCCTGAAACAAGCCATGCTGGAGGCTTGAGGTTGTGTGTGAAGTTTATAGTCACCATAACGTTGTCCATTACACTTTTAAAGTGTCCGTTCAGTTTGGCACACAGCACGGTCTGGTGCACAATACAGTGTAACGCTGTCATCCTCGGAGCCACAGCTGTCAGTCCACTCACCTTCCCAGTCATGGATGGACCAGTCAGAGCGTACAGACCCGGGTCACATCTAACCCGCTGTCTGAAAGAAAGCTGAGATTTTATGAAAGAACACCTGGCCTGTAGTGGCACCTCTGAGGGGTAGAAGGCAGAGCAGCTCCTCGTGAAAACACCAGTGTTCTGCATCATAGAAGTGCACACACACACACACACACACACACACACACACACACACACACAACTGTGCCGTGTCACACTGATCTGTTGACTCGTCCACTGCTGCTGACAGGGTTTCAGCTTTGTTCAGGTCCATCAGCAGAGCCTCAAACATCTGTTGCTAATATTTCCACTCTTCACCTGTTTGAGGGGTCTGAGAGGGGCACGCTTTTCACTGCAGGTGTCACACTGGCTTTGATTTTATCGTCGTGGATTACCTCGTCTAACATTGCACCCATGCAGTCTGACAGGTTCAGAGTCAGTGAAGGTCTTTTTTTCTTTGTTAAAGTCCAGGACCCTCACAGGGAGGCGCCTGGCCCCCTCTTGTGCTGTCCATGTCCTTACTAATGTAGAACTCCTGTTAGAAGATGCTAGCAGGCTCTGTCCCTTCAGGTAATGTTGTCCCAAGAGCTCGTTGTTTGTCAACATGGTGCCTCTGAACGTTACATCCTTTAAACCCTGACAGGTTTTCATTTCAGATCAAACACAGAGGTCAGAGTTCAGTCTTTCAGGTAAAAAACACCTTAATCAGTCCAGGCAGGGTTAAAACGCCCGTTTTACTTCTCAATGTTACGTTTCTGACCTGTTAGCGACATCTTTTCACGGTTGTTACTATTCTGGGCTGGCGTTGCTACGATACCAGCAGCGGTGCGTTCACGTACAAGAGAAAGGGTGGGAATTTTTAAAACTCTCACAGCAAATATGATTTAAATGTGTTTTTGTGGTTTACGTTGGGTCAGTCGGGGGTGGGCCAGTCAAGGACGGTCAACAGGCCAGATGTGGCCCGGGGGCCGCCTATTGAATAGCCCTGATGTACAGAAATTATAAATCCAGAACCTGGACCTTTTAGCGTTAGCCGTTAGCTTCACCAGGTGATCACATGGTCACCTGGTGAAGCTCAGTCCAGATGTTCTGTAGAACCTCCCTGGAGGACAGGTTAGACTCCTCCTCCTGTCATCAGGCTGCAGACAGACCTTCTCCTTCATCTGCTCCTCACGCTTCATCTGCTCCTCACGCTTCATCTGCTCCTCAGGCTTCATCTGCTCCTCAGGCTTCATCTGCTCCTCAGACTTCATCTGCTCCTCACACTTCATCTGCTCCTCAGACTTCATCTGCTCCTCACACTTCATCTGCTCCTCACACTTCATCTGCTCCTCAGGCTTCATCTGCTCCTCAGGCTTCATCTGCTCCTCAGGCTTCATCTGCTCCTCAGGCTTCATCTGCTCCTCAGACTTCATCTGCTCCTCAGACTTCATCTGCTCCTCACACTTCATCTGCTCCTCAGACTTCATCTGCTCCTCAGACTTCATCTGCTCCTCACACTTCATCTGCTCCTCACGCTTCATCTGCTCCTCAGACTTCATCTGCTCCTCACACTTCATCTGCTCCTCACGCTTCATCTGCTCCTCACACTTCATCTGCTCCTCAGGCTTCAGTTGTCTCATCCTGGGCTTAGAACCCAGGACTGTGTCTACACACACTACACACACTACACACACACTACACACACACACTACACACACTTCACACATGTCCACACACACTACACACACTACACACACTACACACACTACACACACTACACACACACTACACTCCAGGACTGATCCTGAAGACCAAACTGGACCATTCAGAACATTTTCTGACTGGATGTAAAATGTAAAAGTTTTAATCCATCATGTGACCCAGTCCATGTTCTGATCCGAACAACTGATGAGACCTGAGCTGTGGTGTGTTCAAGTCCAGAGGAAACTCCGCTTTTTCTGTTTTTACCACACTGGACCTGTCTGGACCTGTCTGGACCTGTCTGGACCTGACTGGACCTAACTGGACTTGGTGAACCTGTTGTAGAACTCAGCTTCCTGACAAAGATCAGCTGGAACAACAGAACAGATTTAAATAAAAGAATCAAAGATCAGAGTCCAGAACCTGAACCAGAATCTGAACCAGAACCTGAACCAGAATCTGAACCAGAACTAGAACCAGTGCTGGACCTTCAGAGAGATGAACTGAAGCAACGCTGAGTGGACCACAGAGCTCTGGTGCTACAGGAGGTTCTACTGGACCAGGACTGTTGTTGTTGTCGTCCTTGTTGTTGTTGTTCACTTGGTTGGATGTGTTGGTTGTGAGTTACACACGTCTACACACACTACACACATGTCTACACACACACACACACACACACAACCACACACGTCTACACACACACACACACAACCACACACATGTCTACACACACACACACACAACCACACACATGTCCACACACACACACACACACACACACACACACACACATGTCTTACCTCCTGTCTCCTGAAGTTCACCACCACCTGTTCAAACTGTTCGTCTTTCGTTTCATCAGCTTTACCCAACTTCTGTAGAACCTGAGGGAACATTTAACACACCTGGTTACCTGAACACACCTGGTCCCAGTTCTAGCCTACAGACCTACAGACCCCACAGACCCTACAGAACCTACAGACCCGACAGAACCTACAGACCCTACAGACCCTACAGAACCTACAGAACCTACAGACCCTACAGACCCTACAGAACCTACAGACCCTACAGAACCTACAGAACCTACAGACCCTACAGACCCTACAGACCCTACAGACCCTACAGAACCTACAGACCCTACAGACCCTACAGACCCTACAGAACCTACAGACCCTACAGACCCTACAGACCCTACAGAACCTACAGACACTACAAAACCTACAGACCCTAAAGACCCTACAGACCCTACAGAACCTACAGACCCTACAGAACCTACAGACCCTACAGAACCTACAGACCCTACAGACCCTACAGACCCGACAGAACCTACAGACCCGACAGAACCTACAGACCCTACAGACACTACAAAACCTACAGACCCCACAGACCCCACAGACCCTACAGAACCCACAGACCCTACAGACCCTACAGAACCTACAGACCCTACAGAACCTACAGACCCTACAGAACCTACAGA